AAAAAAAAAAAAAATTAAATTTCCAAGTTAACATATCAATTAAGAGTATAACATAGCCCTGAATCGTGTAGATTATACTAATCTGATTCTTTTTCACAGGATCTTTAAAGAACTATCCACGCAAATACCTTTTCGAGCATCCTGTAGCGTAAGCTTAAGATTTACGTATTCAAGAGACAACTGGCGTGTAATAATAACAAAAAAAAAAAAAAAAAAAAAATTAAAAAACAACGACTTTCAGCAAAATCCGATTGCGGGCAAGCGTGACACGTTCCTCCTTCGCGTTGTAAACCGAACCCCGATGCATCATCTTCGGAATTTCGCATCGATAAGAAACAACTTGTGTATAATAAACGCGCGCGAGCGAGCGTGCGTTCTCCTAAACAAATTTCCCTCCCAAACGCCCCCCCCACCCACCGTCGGTTACAACTGTCGTTCTCGCTTCCACGATTAAATCGATTAGGAATATCTAAAATTGGTATATTCGGTTTCCGTTTAGCTTCTCGATCGCCTTAACGTTCGTAAACTCGTATTTATAAATGTGTATAATAAAGATCGTTACGCGCTATTACTTGTGTTCATATCATTTTTTTTTTAGTTTTCGTTTTCCATTTTAACTCGTTACATTTTTTCTCCATGTTTCATTGTAGTGTGTGTGTGTGTGTGTGTGTGTGTGTGTGTGTGTGTGTGTGTGTGTTTCGTTTTCTTTTTTTAATCTGTCACTAGATTCCATTCATACGTTAATTAAAGAATACTTTATCGTAGGAAAGAAAAAAGGTCGTACAATCGTCGTAAGCCTTTTACGATGATTAATTCGCTAAATTCTTGTCACTCTCGACTCCCCCCATACCCTTCCCCTGTTTCCCATCGACAATTTTTCTGTGCGACGGGAACACGTTCCTGTTTTAATCCTGGCTTTACCAAGCTTCCTTCGCCCTGGTTCTTTTTTTGTATATAATAATAATAATAATAATAATAATAATAATAATAATAATGATAATGATAATAATGATAATAATACAGTAATAGTAGTAGTCGTAACGTGTAATAATAATCGTGTGTAATAACAATGATAATAAATCAGTAATCGTTTTTTTGGTTTTTTATACAACAATCACACGTAGAAGCGACGAATTAGAGTAGTAGAAATAACTATTCCCTTAATTTCAATTTATCATTATATTTATATTTATAATATAGTATCTGCAATATATTAAATCGTTCTTTCTCTTCTTTCTCTTTCTTTCTTTCTCTCTCGCTATCACTCTTTCTTTCTCTCTGTATCTGTATCCAATATACATACGCGATAGGTCGCGGTGCGCGCGCGTGCCCGCACGGCGGTGGACGCGCGTTTTCAAGCGTATCGAAGCACGAAAATTTTGTTAATCGACGTTAAGTTTAACGTTAATAAACGGTACGCACTTACAGTAACTCAGTCAGTGACTCCAATTGGACGCAATCGAAAAATTGCTAACTTTCGTTTACTGTGACGGCCAAGCCTCGAAATCTACGCGAAATAATTTTTGAGATTCATATTTGCGTGTATATTGTAATAGCTGCAAGTTTTCTTCAATATGTAACTATATGTGGACTTTATTCATCATCTATTACGCGAATGAAATTTTGCCCAACGCTGGTTGTAACACGTGGAATGTCCTTTGTTTTAAATAGTTAGGCATGATTCTACGATTCTACGACGTTCTTCCAGAAGGATTTAGAATTTTATTCGAACAAAGTTTTTAAATATATATCGTTATTCTGTATAATAAGATATTATAAAGCGTCCTTCTTGGAAGAGAGGGTCATTTTAGGGATCCTGAAATCTTTTTTTCCACTTAAATGCGTTGTACCTAAACTATTCGTGGTAATACGTTGGAAAAATAGAAAATAAATGAGCCTTACCTAGATCAATACATTGAAATTTCAAACTACGATTATTTATTCCTCAGGAATGTAAGCTTAAAGAAATATCGAGGCTTGACCTTCTCCTTGAACCAACTCGAACCTAGTCGAAACCAGAGATGGGCAAAACTTTTGCCTCTCACTTTTGAATAACGAATAAAACATACAGAACCCTTTTATTCATTATTCCTCCATTAAAAGAAAATTTAGAACCTAATTTATAGAATCAATTTACGTTTTCTGTTTCGTTTAAAAACAACCGATACCCTTATACTCGATTCAAACGTCCATCTCTGGTAGGAAAAAGAAATCGAAACGAACGAAGAATGAACCGTCTAATCGCGAGGCTAACTACGAATAAACTAAATTCTGATGAAACGATTCCGAGACACGCGCGTGCTTCCTGTCCGAGCGGTCGCACGCGTGCGCACCCATGTACGTGTTATAACATATATGTATATTTATTTATATATATATTTATATAACAAGATGGCAAAAATGTTCCTCCGATTATCTCGTAGGTGGAGACATCCTCCTACACCCCCCCCCCTCCTCACTCGACACCCTCCCCGCCTCCTCTTCGCATGTTTTTCCAGTAGGTATCTCCGGTTCGTTTATAATCGATTTACTCGTTATTAGTAATAGAGGATGTACGAACGTGTAGAAAGATTTATCTCGTGTTTAATGAAATGGTAAATTCGACAAAAAAGTTCTTCGATCGCGGATCACCCAGGATCTCACCCCCCCTACGGTTTCCCGCAGCGCGAAAATACGATTCACTCGTCGTGACTCACGTCTGGGTTCCTCTTTAGCCTGCGAACGATCGTCGCGTCGTGCAAACCAGGGAACCCAGGCAACCGAAAGCACACGCGCCAACGCGCGCCAAGCTTCGAGCACATGTACCATCGAGGTGTGAGAAGTCTCAAAATATCTAGAGGCCTAATACACCCTAATAAACTACTCCAAACGCAAACACATGTGCCTTCGGTTGCCTTGGCTCGTTCGTCCGAAGTAGATCGATGCACGATGCACATATGTATACAGTGAGCGACAAAAGTATTTGTACTCCATCGACCACTGTCTTCGAACAGTTGATATATTTTGTTGGCAAAATGTTGGTGATATCACTCATCGATAAATACTTTACTTCGATTAAGCTCTCGACCGATGCAAACTTTTTTGAAAAATATACGTTCGATAAGGATACAATACAATTGTAGATGTGGAATATATCAAACATTTATAGCAGCATTTTTCAAACCGTGATAAAATTGCAATTAATTAGATTGACTAGATTAAAATGCTAAATATGTTTAGTACCCACAAGTACAAGTTCACTTGCTCGCAATCTACTTAAATTTCTATTTTGTTAATTGAATAGTAAATTCAATTCACTATTGAACTATATGGTTTCGAAAGAGTTGACATCGTTTGGGGATGCACTTAATACAGTATACGTATTATCAACGAGTCTTTCCATGAACATTTTCTTTTGAGAATACACTAATTGATCAAAGACTGTAGTTAAAAGAGTACAAATACTTTTGTGTATCATTGTATATAATTGTATCTGCGACTCTGGTGCATCGAATAAACGGAGCAACGACGACGTCGTTGGACGTCGAGAACACTCTTCGTTCTCTTCGTCGTTCCCTTCTTCCCATGGACGCGATCAGTCTTCGTGATCGTCCTGCTTCCGTTTCTTCCTCGTCGCCCTGCTGGTCTGCCTCCCGATTTTTTCGCGTTCGGCTCGTTCGCCTTACGCTTGTGCTCACTCGGGGACACGAGATCGACTGGTAAAACAAAATTTCACGTGGGTTGGCGGGGCGCGCGCCGATATACGCGTCACGCCAATCGCGAGACCGCCTTACAACGATGAGGTAACAACGTTTAAAGATCGCTCTTCTGTCCCTCGGACAAACGCGCGTAACGTGTTCTCTGTATGTGTCTGTGTGTGTGTGTTTATTCCAGAGGAGGGCAAAATTCTTGTCGAACAACGAGTAAAGGAATAAAAATTTAGAGTTTTAATTGTGGGAAAAAAATATATTTTACAAAATGAAAAAACAAAAAAATGGATTGTTCCATCGAGTGGAGTATTTCAGGTTGGATTTGTTCATTCACCTACAGGAAAATAATTTTGCCCACCTCTGATGTGTGTTTGTAGTATGTTTCTCTACTGTATGGAGCTGTAAAGATTGCATCCGATGGGTGGAATACAAGGAGATTCGATTTTGCTTCGATCTGAAGAGCTTTTCATACGATATGATCGAGAATATAGGTATAAATTCAATTTTTTTAAATGGTATATAGATGGGTTTCTTAGTAATGGTGTCAATAACTTTGGAGTACCACATTGAGATCTAATATACCACGGTTATTCTCGTGTGTAACTTGAAACACTATAGAACGCAAAAATGCGTGTGGTACTCCAGTACTGAAAGAAAAAATAACCCTATAGCGAACCTCGTCCTAAAGTTCAGATTTTCCCTGAACTCCACCCAGCCGCAATCCTTTCCATCTGTTCAGCATGTGTCGAAAAGCTTCCGTTTTCGACCCACTCACGATCCCGCCTATTCGTTCAGAACTCCTGGAATATCATACGTGTACGTCTAGTAGGAGTTACGTGTGTGTGTCTGAAACTGTATACCAGTATATGTGTGTACGTGTGAGCGCGCATGCGGATATACATGGATTGCTCTCGGTATCGTCGTTGCGAGAGACGAGAACGAAAATTAGAAGAAAAAAGAGTTACATGGAAGATTGTTCTGTACAGCGACTATCGTACGAACTAAATTATACGTGGATGCCGACGTGTCGGCGCCATTTTTATCGATGCACGGCCGTCTACGGCCGCGACGCCCGCTCGACCCTTTCGTACGTGGAGGTTTTTCTTCTTTCTCTTCAACTGGCACAACCGTCTTCCCTCTTCGACGCTCATCTCTTCGTCGATGCCCAGCATCGACTCATCTTGAACCTCTTCAGCGTGGTCTTCGAAGGCGAATTCGTTCGGCCTTACTGCTGTAATCGTCTTCTACTTGTGGTAGTCAGAAGTTAGGAACAGAGTCAGAAATTCTGATTCTTCTCTTCTAGATCTCTTCTTCATTTTCGTTCTATATTCATCCATGTTGCTGCAGGATTTCTCTTCTTGTGATAATCAATGGCAGCGTCGAGGCTGTTCCCAGAGACAGGAGTTCTGATAAATTCTGATTACATCCTAGCAGTGTCTTAAAACATTTCTATTTTACTCTCTTCTTTTCGTGGGAGTCGATGACAACGTCGAGGCTGCTCAGATTCGAATCTCGCGAAAAGAATCCTTTCGATTTCTTTTAGTATTTCTTCGTGCCTTTGCGTTTATTCTCCCACAAGCTCCGTTTAATGGCAATCGAGGCTGCTCCTCGGGTTTAAGTTATAGGAACAGAGTCAGGATTTCTGATTTCTCTTACTACCAGTATCTTCATTTTCCTTTCCTTGCAACTTTCTTCTTTCTTCTTTCTTCTCTTGAGATTGTCGACGACGTGGGCCTCGGATGTTGCGAACAGAGACAGAGAGTCGCTCGTTGCTCGAGTGTACGCGTGTGCGTGCGTGTATCGAGGAATAAATAAATAAATATACGCATTGCGCGGGGAGGGAGACACCTGGATCAAGGGGAATGTGATTCCACACGTTTGAGAAGAATGTGGTCGAGTAATTCTTTGGTTAATCGCTAGCTTAAAGACTGACCTCAAAGTTGACCTAAAGATTGACCTCTAGGTGGACCTAAAGCGTCTGATTCGATTCCTTCCAGGTCTGATCTTCCTGCTCCGTGCAATAGCTGCGTTCGTTCCACATTTATCTATTTATCCGAACGAGATGTCAGTTTGTCTGTCTCTGTGCGAGTGTTTGTGCTCGTTTCTATTGCACGCGGGTGTTGACATCGCTCTCGCGTTCTTGCACGGCTCTGATTGGTTTCACGCGTCGAGGCGACGAGCGTTCACCGACACATCGGCCCTTCATCTCTTCTACTTCCTCCCTTTCCTCGCTCACGGCCGATTTACTTGTGATTGAAGGAGAACGGCGACGGACCCGTCACCGCGCTTCGGTGGAAATGCACGTTCTGCCATTTGTTGTCCCTCTTGTGCCACACGCGGCTCTCCTCGCTCTGCTGAGTGTGCGCTACGCCTTGTCTGCAACAACGAACCACGTTCGCGCGTGTCACGTATACGAGCAGCCAAAACTAATGGGAAAAGATCGCGTATCCTTTGTTGGAGAGAGAAGAATGGCATCAGGGGGAATGTTGGACAACCTACCTTCTTGTGCACCCACCTTTTCTAACTGTCGCAATGGATATTCCACTGTATGCTATTTCTTAAATATACGGATTGATTTATGATCAAATTTTTATACTATCTTTCGGAATATAAAAATACCCTAGGAAACATTCAATCTATGAAAAATCATATTTTTCGTTAACATTCATTTCCTCTGCCATTTTGTTCAATCCCCAACAAGGAACAAGTTACCAAACCCTTTCCAACCGAGCGAACTTTCTATAATATTTTAGTAGAATACTCGTTTGTCTGTTAAAATTCACCTTCCTCGATGCGAAGAAGTCAAACTTACTTGTCCATGTATTGCGTGAGCCTGACGTACGCGATGCACGCGGCGTCCTCCCCCAGGAGGTGTACGTGAGGATTCAGGATCGTCGTGTTCACGGCCTTGCAGTTCTTCCCCAGGACTGCTTGGAGATTTGAAAAGCGAAACACTTGTTATTCGAGGGTCTGCTCGTCGTCGAAGCTCTCAATGGTCACGGGAAATGAACAAGAATAAACGTAAACACATCGAGAATGTGTTCTAACGACGCTGAGGACCACGAGCGTTCAATATATGAAAAGAATAATGAGAAAGAAAAATGTTGCTCGAAGTAAATTATTAACCAGTTTTGAGGATGTCCAGAGAATTTGGTGGTGAATGGAGTGTTTGGAATGACATCATTGGGTAATAATAATAAGGTAGAAAATGGTGAAACAGTTGTATACTGAACGAGCAAAACACCTGCAAGTAAAGTGACGCAAGCTTCTATTTCTTTCATGGAAAAATGGTAGATTGTGGTTTGGCGCGTTCAGTGTTGCCTTGTATTGAAATGAACTCATACGGTGCAATAAGAAGCCGTGACGACGTTAGGTTCGCGGATGGGCACCGATCGGAGACTTCAACGCCAGAAGAAGAAAGGAATATTCGCGTCGTAGCCGTGTTCGCGGGTAAATAAGTTTCCTTCTCCGCCATTTTTATGGTGTTTGCTAAAGAAAATTTTTTTCCATTCCTAGTATGCAAAGGATGGAGTTCTTTTCTGTGGCAAAGCATGCAGCAATTGAAATGAGGAAAAATCAAACGATACAACGAAGACACAACGGTGCAGTGGCTGGTCAACGCAGTGTCGACGGGCGCGGGACGATTAACAGTGATGCAAATGAGTCATAATTACCATTATCAAAGTAAAATTTGTGGAAATCCATTCCCTCGACTAAATTACCTAGAGCCTCCGGCTCGAACGCGGTCAGGTGCGGATCACAGATTTTCCTGAAAGCGGAAACGACGTTAGAAGAGAGTGGAACTCTTCCTGTTCGTTGGAAAGAAATGATATTTATCGTTGGGGACTCGATAAAGAAATTTATCACCTTTAAATCACCCATGTAAATCGATCACTGAATAATTGTTATCGAAGCAAAACGTCACCAATACTACTAAATAACTTTAAATACTAAATCATATTATGCAACACTGTTTTATACTGGTTTTTTTTTTTACGACGTTTCTGCTTCAAGGGGCAGTGTCACTTACGTGTACGCCTCGAAATCGCCAGTGTTGATGCTCTCGATTAGCTGCTCGGTCATCTTGATGATCTCCTGACGGCGTGCTGGAATCGTCAAGACATTATCGATCAGTTCAACCGCGCGATCGGCACGCCCGATCGACGAAGAGAACGATACGGGCTCATACCGACACATCGTACGGCACAACAGTCACATGCACGAATCTTTATCAACTTCTACGTCCTACGCCAAAGACTCTCTTATCATAGATTACCCATTGGAGTCGTCTAAAAAAAAAAAAACTCGATATTACCTTCGCCCGATAGTGTTATCGGGCGGCACTCTACCAGAAACTATATTCGAAGATCGACTCGATCGTTGAATCGGACTCCAATAACCCAGAATCCTCGAATGGTTCTCTTTTTTTCAAGAAGTATAATTGAAAGAGACATTTTTAAATTGTCTGTATAGCATGATTGGCTGCGGTAATTAGAAGACAGAAGAAGTACTCTGAGAGAAAAAGACCATTCTAGGATTGAATTCGCTGACGGGGAAGTTCCTTTTTACACTCGATGGCCACTGCACCGACTTTAGATTGCACTCGTGGCTAAGGACGATGGCCAGGAATAAGGACACGTCTTTGCAACGGGCAAAAACAATTACAGTGGACCAGGACTAATTTGCAGAGCGCTAAGAGTAACCAATGGGTGTAATGTTATATATAATTTGACAGTCAAAATTATAGTAAGTAGAAAAGAAATCAACAAATAATACCTTCGTACCTTAGTACCACAGGTAATTGTTTATCATCTATTTTATCAAACAGATCTCTTTCTCTGTATAAAATAGTATTTCTCTAGGAATTAGTTCTGGTTTACTGTACGTTGGTGCAGTGCCATTCAATTGGAAGCGATCGTCAACGACCAGAGAATTCGAGGGAAAGTCGATTCTCCGTCGTTTCGACGAGAAAATGGAATATCGATAAACATGTATGGATCGTTCGTGTTCACGGGCGACGTTGCGCAGGCTGACACCGGAAGTCGTCTTCTTGGACGCTAGAAGAGTAAAATGTCTGTTCTCTCTACTTCCGACTTTCTCTTATCCTTGGATTCTCAGTTTTCGACGGTGTTCACTTCAATTGTTCATGTATCGTTTCGAATAGAATTAAGAATTAAGAATTAAGAATTCAGAATTTTTCTAATGGGAATGAACAGTCGATTTATTTATTGGTGCAGGCATGGCGACGTTTCGACCATAAGTTCTCTTCAGGACAACCTCTTACCAAATTGAAAATTTTTGCATGTATGATCGATTAAAATATTTTCGTGTTTCGATACATGAGTGATACATCCATTTTACCTAAATATTGATAGTATATCCCTTCTCTATTTGAGGTCTAAGATAAACCTGGAGAGGCCCCACGTCTGAACCATCGTCACCACCCACGCCAAGAAACAGATCAACCAGTCCATCTCTCTTCAAACTGTATTTTCATTAATATTAAATTAACCAAATTTCGTCTTCAATTCGCCCAAGTAACCCCTTGCAATTTAGACCCTTCCGTTCGTCGAATAATCAATCCCAGACCCCCGTGTCAGGATCCTCGGAGATCCCGAATTTAAACGTCTCCCTGGTGCAAGTAGAAAGCAAAAATAATGGAAAAAAAAAAGATGGATAAAATATCAGGGGCTTCGAGAAGTCCTGTGGGACGCTATCTAAGAGAGAAATTAATTTCTACGTTTTCCCACGACCACCACCGTCGGCATTCGTCAACCACAGAGCTGCGCTTTACCCTACTGCGTGCGCACCGCGCAAATTTCTATCGACAAACGTAACGTTACTACGTAATGTTACTTTTCGTATCTGTTTTTTTTTTTTTGTTTGTTGTTGTTGACTTTATAATTGTAGCAACGAAAACGATGGAATTTCGTCGCGAATCCACTAGTGGTACACGTCTGCGAGGCTTTTCTAGTTTTACAATTACGCTGGATCGCCGGTAACTACTGTCGAAACGGAAAACGGAACTTGCGAACCGTTTCGTCGTGTCGCGCAGTTGGTACGATGTAAGGTTTCGTTACCTGAGCACTGGGAGTTGGTCGAAAGCTGGCTGCAGGTCTTGATAGGACACACGATTCTTATTTCTACAAGCAATATATATATAGAGATACATACACATATAATATAGAGAGATACCGTTGGTTATTAAAGATTCATGTCAGCGTAGGCGGGAGGATCTTTCTGCGTGACTGAAGCGGTTTTTCGCGGTAGATCAAGATCCGCGTAGGACTACTTCCGGGGCGTGGTCGATCAAGCTGCACGATTAATATACAGGAAAAAAAAAATTGATGCAATGCAGCCCCAGGAGTTTTCTGGCAAACTGTGCTCCAGGGCATTCTTTGTGGTGGAATGAGAACAATTTATTGTGCGTGTAAATGCTTTGTTGAAGAGTTGAGAAAGTGGTGTGACGTGGGAGCCAAAACTATAATTGTATTTGTCTAGATTAATTCCATGTATATAATTTAAAATGGAGGACATAATAGACGTTACAACGCTTAATTTAGCTTAATTTAGGTCCTCTAGGTGCCTTGAGCCTTCAACGCTTCGAGTCTAAAAATATTAATTATTGACCCGAGAAGGTCCCAAAGTTAAAAGTGGAAATGTTCGTCGAATAGTATGTGCTAATATAAGCTACGCAACCTACAATATTTGTTTCAACCCTATAAAAAGAATTCCTCTCTCCACATATTCTTGTAACTTTCCTACAAAGCATTTCAGGACGTTCTACCATTTTCTCTCATTTCCATCCACGAGAATATACCAGCGCAGTTTGCCCAAGAAAATTCCAGGGCATCCTGTATAAACAGGGTTCCCTTCCGTTTCTCGATCTTTGCAGCGGCGATGTCTCGCGAGACATCTCGTTTCCACGGCTCGAACGAGTCGAAAGAAATTCGACCCATCGAGCGAAACGTCTGCGGAGCTTAATCCCCGCGAGCAGCGTAAGAGGATTAACCGTCTCCTCCGGTTCCATCTCGTCCTTATTACGCTTTTTCCTTCTTCTGTATTCCCTCCATCTTCCCCTCCGTCGGCTTCTGCAACCGTCTTTAACGATTCGCCGTTTCGCTGGCACGGGATCACACCGACGAATCGTTTTCGAGATCGTTTCGCGACACCTTCGTTGCGTTGGACGTCAAGCATCGGGTTAGGGGGCTCGGTCCTAATCGAGCTTGCTTACGGAAAAACGAAGCGAGATCTACTTGGGGTGATTGGTATCAAACCGAGATGAGTACTCGAATATTTTCTGAAACCATCGGGGTACAAGAATTCTTTGGGATAACTCAAGCTTTCTAGCCATCGGTATTTAGAGATGGACTTTGATTTTTCACTACTTTGAGTCTTTAAAGCTTTGAAATGTTCTTTTGACTCGGATGTTTTGTTGAATCACTCGAGTTCCTCAAAGTATCCGAACTGTTTGAGTCCCTCCAATAAACAGTATTCATCTCAGTATGACGACCACCAGCGCATCTCGACTCGAGTTTCCAGCTATTCAAACCTTCAGAGTACTCTCTCCTATTCTTTGGCACCCCAAAGCTAACAGCACACGATTACAACGAGGCAGCGGTTAACTGGACCAACGTCAACAATTGTAAACAAACATTTCGATCGCATACCAGCTGCGAGAAGCGTTCAACGACAATTACGAGCACTTGGAAGCCATTGCTGTGATCTCGTACTTCCACGTTTTTCTCCCTCAGCCTTTTTGCAAATGCCAGGAAACACGCACGAGAACTGCGATCAAACGACTCTCTATCAGCGGACTAGCGTAAGTAATGTAATGTGATTAACTACGAAGCCTGTCCGACGATTTTTTTGTTCACCGTTTCACACAACACAACGTATTGGGTTTCAATAGTTTTATTGGTATGTATACGTATATATACGTTCACAGTTTGCGCCTACACAATGAATTACACGTGGATTTGTAGCGTTCAGCGTGGACGAGAGCCTAATCAATGTTCCTACGCGACGTTCGATTGCCAGCGACGAGTAAAATTCCATTTCGAGGTCTGACGTTCATTCCACGGTTCGTTCGATTATTAACGAACCCGTAACGAGCTTCGATCGCGCGATATACCATTTTCTATTTAAACAAATCTCAAAGTCAGGTCAAATTTGACTAACTGACAACTGGCCACTTCTCGGTAAATCAGCTTTTATATTTCGACTTCGTATTAAGTATACTTCAACGTCAAATAAAGCACTATTTTTTTAATCGCGATTCCAGAAACGAATTTCACATTGAGAAAATATTTTTACAAATATACAGACAAATATTTTTCAAAATTCATATCTAATTCCAAGGTATATTTTCCCAGAGGGGAAATTTACATTTCAGCACGAAATTTCGCACGTGAAACTATTTCGGTATTCGCAGCTATCGCGTCCAAAGGATATTTGAATTTTTAATGGTACATCCTTTTTGAAGGAGGAAACTTTAACTCTGAATTTCCAATTAATATTAGATTCACGGAGGGGGAGAAAATGTTTCGAATTAGATAGCAAATGTATTTTAATAGGAAAAAACTGTTTGGCGAATGCAACGTCGCTTTTGGAGAAATGGTATTTTACGAGTGGTCAGTTTGCACACTAAACTCTGCGTTACATAATGCGGGACAAACAATAGGGTCGCACAGAGACAATGCTCGGAGTGTTTTCGCAAGTCCCTTTTCTAGTTACACATCCTTTGAGTTACTCGAAATTTGTGCTTTCAATGCTTCGAGACACACAACCTATGAGTCTTCAATGCTCTGAAACTCTCAAACCTTCGAGCCACTCAAACTGTGATACTCTGTCTTCCACGGCGACAATTGTGCGAGTCGGCACGCGTGCGCACGTGGCACCACGTGTTTCTTCAAAGACAATATCCAAAAAAAGAGAAACAAAAATGGAAAAAAAAAATAAATAAAATAAATAAGGGTTCGTGCGAGAAGTGAGTCTTGAGGTCGTTGGAGGACACTCTGATTGTACTAAAAGTGCTGCTGGATCCTTTGGCGTCGTGCCTGACGGTGTCCTGTTGACTCCCATGTCTAACCAAAATCGATACTTACTACTTACGGGTCGTCGTTCGCCAAAACAAAACCATGACTACTCGCTACGACGGATACGCGATACGACGAATCAAATCGACTCGTTTGTTCACGATCTTGCACAGGTTATTGTTAGAATGAATTAATTTATTGAATCACTGGTCCACTTGGTAGCAAGGAATTGCGTTTCGTACGTTAACGAGCTCGTCGTATCGCGAAACCAATCACGCAGCAACTACCAAAAGGGCAAAATACCAGAGACCACGAGTGGTGCCTCGATTACCAGGTATCCAGAAAAAAGGGGACACCAAAAAGATACACCGACAGTCTCCAAAGACAGAAGCTCGCGCGAGGAGCTTCTTCGTGACGCTTAACGAGCCTCGAAGTCCTCTGAAATTGAACTTTGATGATCAATAAATGCTTCTACCAAACTTGAAACCGATTACATATACCGTATCTTCGAATAAAATTCTCAAAGTTGACCAACTTTCGAGGCTCCAAGTGTAAGAAGACACTCTCGAATCACAGAAAGACAAAGTACTTGAAATATCCAAAGGTATATCGAGGTACTGTGCAGAGGTGACAAGATGGACAGTGGGTCTTAGTGGTACAGCACAGTTTCTTAAATTATACTATAGAATTCTATATTATAATCTAAGAAATGACACTATGTATTACCAATCAGACTCACTGGCCATCTAGGTGGGAATTCGAGGCGCCGTGGAACGTCGCGTGGCTCAAACTTCACGACAAGCGACATCGTCTAAGCTTCGAGCAGGCGTCCTCGTCCTTCGTGCCCTTTTTTTTCGCTTTCCCTGCGACCTTAGCGACGCTGGTGCTCCTCTTACCGTCTTCCGGGTCGCAGCACTCGGCCGGGCCAAGCTGCACGTATCCAGCGGCGCCCGTTCGTCGGACTTCCGGTTCTGATTTTTCGTTCGTTCGGGGCGCATGCAATTGAAAACGACGCGGCATGCCAGCGATGCGTGCAACCGGAACATGCAGAAACACAGAGGACTGGGTCATCGAATGCGCTTCGCAGAAATTAAAAGCGATTTCCTCTCTGACGAAACGAAACGGGGGGCGAGAGGGGAGGGGCTGGAGCTGGGCTGGGTCTATTTCGATAATTTCATACTCGATCGGCGCAATTTTGAATATTTCAGTATTGGAATGTCGTTACTCGGGTATTATCAGACAGGATTGTTGGACTGTTACTGGTCCAATTATCCAAATATTGTTGCTAGGCGTTATTCAATCGTTCGAATGTATTTTTATATCATTGTGATGTTTATCGAAATATTTTTTAATCGATTATAAATCATGAATACGAATGTTACGCATTTAAGGTGTGCAGTAATGTCGGAAACATACAAATACAAAATGTATGTTGAATATATTCTATAATCAATGTAATAATATTATTATTTTGTTTTGCGTAAGTGAAGAATACAAGTAATGTACTCATGAATTCATATACAAGTAGAATATTAAATGAAATGAATCACTACCGAGATAACGTGCCAGTTTGTACCAAGAAATAAAATATTCCAACAATACTTGAATAATTTTTATCTAATTACCAAAGTATTCAATATTCAAATATACAAAAATTTACCAAACAGCCTTAGCCCCAAAAATAATACGTCGCATGCAATCAGTACTACCCTTCAAAAGATACTGGAGCATTGCTTTGTAATAAAAATTGAAAGTTAATGCATCGTCGCGGAGTTTTCACGTAACTTTGAACGTCCTATCGTCGTATCGCTAAACTTGATAAATTCTAATTTTTCCACTGGTGGAAAATTTGGTAAATTGGATTCTTCGTGCGACAGTGTGCTGATGCATCCCTCGAGAAGAAGGTTCTATCCTCATTCAAAGCACCGAGCGATGGTGCTAAGCCCAAAAGCGAATGCATCGTCACGTCCTGACGAAATTTCAAATAATAAAATTGCATAGACGTTGTTTGTTCCGTGATGCCATTGACAATGTGTAAGGGAAAGCTATATTACTGGAATCTAGGAAACTGAAATTTTTTTCGTGAAAATTCAGTAATCTCGCGAAACTAAAAAATTGAGTATGATGTAAAATAATAATAAATTCACGATCTTTTTTTCCTCTAACAAACGAATGAATTGTCCCCCATATTGACCAGGATGACGCGAAAATATTTTCCATTTGCGAAATGGAAGTTTGATTTATGGGCGTCGCTGAGATAAATGCACTTTTGGCTATTATGGGAATCAATCAAGCCGTACAATGCGGTCGCGAGCTCGTCTCTGTTCAATGAAATGCATTATCGGAGATCATCGGGACTGATGCGTTGCGTCTTCTGTAATTACAGGATCGATTCGATAAAAGCATCGCGACGAATCTGCGCGTGTATGCGTGGAATAATTGCGATTGCCCTGCACCGTCAATTTTCAAAAGTTTCCACGCGGCTTCTACTTTGAAAAATTATGTTCTTGATCTCTCAATCATTTTCATCGATAGTCCATTTCCGAGTATTTTATTTTTTTTAGTAGTCTTTCGATCATTCTGTGGTTTTTCCAAAGCTCCAATTTTTATTGTGGTATCTATTCCGTCCCTCGAATATTCCATTTTTCATTTCATTATCTATCCAGCCCATCAATCACGTAATACTTATACAGTGCCTCGATTATTCTAATTTTAATTTCATTATTTATTCGGTGCTTTGAACACTCTAGCATCATTTATTCAACCCTCCTATTATTCAATTATTTACACAGTTCCACTAGTTACAGGATTTTCGTTACATTCAGTAATTTTCAGAGGGAACGGGTAACTATTCCGCGGAACCAATTCATGCGCTTCAATATTGCTGGAATCCAATCCCGTTCACAATCCAGTCGCACGAATATCCAATTACTTTTTCAAACAACACCTGCTATTAGCCAACTTTCATCAGTCTCTAATAACAATCCATTTGTCGTTATCAAAAATGGATAGAATGGAATTCACTATCCGAAACCCTCTCCTACATATTCATCTTCAATACTCGCTCACCGAATAAATATTTAAAAATCAACTTTTCCTCGAACGATGCATCGACTTCTCGAGGACCAAAATAAATAAGCCGAATAACCCCATTACAGACCATATAAGAATTTAATTTGATAAAAATAAGTATTTCCAATTACTAAATAGAAATATTTGTGTGAAATATGATTTGTTACGCATAACGGGGCCATCCGCCTTAATAGCACCAAAAGTCAAAATAAAAACAAGAAAAATCTGAGGCATAGGGAAAATCGACCGGGAAATGTACCGAGTGTCGGCGTGTACTCGTATGGGATGGGGTCGGAAAGGCGTCGAGACGACAGAGGAGGTCGATTCCAGGTGTTAAACGATACAGACCGTTGCTCGCAGAGTCGTAGCGTCGCGACGATGTCGTGGGCGTCGCCGCGGTGTGGTTGCCGATGTAGACGGCCGACGACGATGACGGTGAAGCGCCTGTCTGGCTGTTCTGGCTGTTGCTGCTGCTTCCACTGCTGCTACCGCTTCCTGCGCTGCCAGCTAGTCATGCAACCAACCAACCAAAACACGAGCTACTGTCAGCCTCCGTCAACAGCTCTCTCCCGGTCTCTTCTGGTCTCGTTTCGTACCGTCATTTGGTCATTCGGACGTTCGTTGTGCTCTCGAATCAATTTTCTGCTGCCCCCAGGAAAAATTTCGGAAAAACTCGCGAGAGAAATTTGGAGATAGAGTTTTTTTTATATAGTTTAGAATTGGGAGAAGCTTATAATTGGGGTAAGTTGCGAGAGCGCAACGGGACCGTCTCGAGGGAATGAAAAACCAAGAAAATTAGAAAGAAAAAAAGAAAAAAAAAAAATCGTCGAAAGCAAAAGGGCAGAATGCAGAGGCGTTGTTTGGTATTCACTTGATCGATCAATCTAGATCAGACAGTACTATATAAGCGTGTATGTGGCGAGAAACCAACGAAAAGCATTCGTTGGATCCCTAGAACGTGATCGATGCATGATAGTGAGCGATGCTGAAAAATATGTGCTCTGAGGATGAAAATGAGAGGGAGAAAATGGGGGCCAAGCATCGAAAATACAATGAGAGAATCTATTAGTGATATATTCGCTGTGAGTGTGTGGCGTGGGCGGTGGTGATCGGAGCATGTTTTAGGAGAATAAGAAAAATCCAAGTCATGCTTCGACTCTAAAATGGGACTCACCGATAACTGCCTAGCGATTTCGATCTTCAGGCTATCTATACAATTGATCCGTATGCTAATGGCGATGCTCGAAAACGAGAATTTAAAAAAAAAAAAAAAGAGATTTTTAACAGGGGGATAATTATCGATTTTAACTTGTAGGTAGAGAACTAAAAAATATTTGAGACCACTGCAAGCGTTATTATTAGCCTGCGGATTTTTATGCATCTAGAAGAAATTTGAATGCGCAAAAAGCTACAATATGCAAGAATATAACAAAAATTCAAAGTTCTTGTAGGTACGTTTTGCAAAGATTTTGTTTTCCAGAAAGATCCGCAGTCTAGTTGTTATCAATCGAAATTACTTTTCAACTTGCAGAACACCATCTTATCCGTCAATAAAATGTCTTCAATGAGAAAATAAAGAAACTTGATGGACGCCATTCTCTTTTTCACCGGTAAAATATTTTGCACCAGTCGTTGAATCCAGCTTCTAAAATTGATAATACAGTTGATATTTCCGTTATGGGGACCGAGAAAAGTTTAAGAACCGCTGCTATGTCTCGTTCTGGATAACAGCCGCAAGGGAGAGTCTGCAATTTCGCTCGACTCCCTGCTGGGACTGATAGTAAACTTTTACCACCGATAAAAACCTGGCTCGTAATATCTCTCGCGATTATTCTCGTTCCTCTCGCGTTGTTTCGTCCACCAGAAACGAGAAAGAAAACGAGCTAGAACGGCGCCCATCGTCGCCACGGCGTCGTCTCTTGGCGTCGTTTCCGGGGCCATCCTCGATCGACCGCTCGTTTTCAACCGCGACGCGGATTTTACAAGTTGGATTCGGTTCCTTCGTTCGTTCCCATAGTCGACGGTGTAAATACGGTTCTTGATTTTTATTTAAATTATGTTCGATTCTAAACTTTATAAAAATATGTATATATATAGAGAGAGTTTTCCAAAAGAGTTTATGTGATTTTAATAACAGTATATGTATGTCTGTCAATAAAGGTGGATACTTGAGCGACATCAAAATTATAAAATAAAAGAATTACGTGTATTCCACGTAACGTTTAGGCTTTGTTAAAATACAAAGTCTGCGATATACGTATGGTACACTCCAGGTAATAGACCATGAATCTTTCAGTGATTATTATACCGTATTTGTACTGTCGACTATACACGGTCAGAAACCAGCGTCGTACAGGACAGGCTTCGTAGATTGTTTCTGTTACCTCGTAGAGATCGATTCGAGTAGCAATACATGGATTTGATACAGGTTTGAAAATTGCAGGAGAATCAGACCGAAAAGTCCTGCGAGTGTGGACACTTGCGACAACTAACCCATTATACTTATTTTCACTTTAAGTTTCACTCGTTCCTGAACGATCACCACTATAACTGACCAACGCAGTGCAGTTATCGAAGTTTTGACTATATTTAATTCCATGAATTCCCTCCTTTCGAGAGAAATAAACTTCTCTTCCCCAACTCGTATCGATAAGCGACGAAATAAAATAGATATCAATCAGCAATTGGCAGTCTTAAGCATGTTATCGATGTTTCGATTCAGCACACGGCAAGCACGCCAACTATTGGTGTCACTACGAAATGTCAATTAATTGCTTGCGACTGCCCTAATTAAAATAGAGCGTAGAGATCACATAGATCCACGCAAGTCTCTAATCGAATACCCAAATTTTCCTTCAGGCGCCGTTTTCTTAGGGTGTCCTTGAAATTGCGCGATTCAAGCTCGACGCTGGCGTAGGCGGAAGTGACAAAAACGTCGCTGCCATGATTTTCACACCGAGAGACGAAGGACGGTAGAAACGGGGGTATATTTGGTTGCCTGGGAAGCCCATGTCGATTTTTTGGTAGGTGGTACCAAAAAATGTAATTCAATAATTATATGTATATCAAGATTCAAATTTGCCTTTGAAGTTTTCTTAGAAATTGGCACGAACTTTCTGGACAACCTAATAAATGGAACCATCTCATCCAAATCGATGAAGAAATACCTTTTTCTACCGTCCCTTCCCCTCGACCAAGTTTCACCAAGCCGAATTACCTTGGGCTCCCTGTAGGAGTACCGCGGCTAATCCAAGGGGGTTCCCCTGAACCTGGTTCTGGGGTTGCTTGTTCTGGCTCGCTGCCCCGACTACCCTGATGAGTGCGGACACGGCGGCAGGACTGTTCGGAGGCGTGCCCTGGGAGGCGGAGCCTTTGTCGAAGATTTCGAATTTCACCGATTAGAAGTGTCAGCAAAGAGGGGTGCGTCCACACGGGGGTCCACAGAACAACCCTCACCGATCAGCTAGACCGAGTCGTAATCGGGCCCATCGAGATTAATTCCGTGTTAGAAGACATTGAGACTGCGTTAGTCGGGACTCTTTCTTCACACTTTCAAGGAGCATAAAAACTAACACGTCATTGAACGAGCATCTAGACCTGGTCGCATTTGGGTCTATGAGAGTCATTGTTAGGGGGCACTGGGATCTCTCAGGCGAATAGTTAACCTTACGAGTCCTGTTAGTTAGGAGTTAGAGTCTTTGAGACTTTGAATGACGGTCCAAGTGATGCGGAGCTAACAAAACACCATCTAGAATGAGCATTTAGACCTAGTCGCATTTGGGTCTATGAGATTTAGTTACACGCTAAGTACGTTTAGTTACACGATGATGGAATCGTCAGCGCGAGGAATTAGTAGATAAATTCTCATTAGTCGATGGGTGGAGTCATCCTCGAGACTTTGAGGATTATTCAAACAGCAGTTCAAGTGCTATAGTGTCGACGAAACAACTTGTCGAACAAGCAATTGGATTTACAATCGTATTTTGGCATGAATTAATTTAGCGTTGGAAGACGTTAGAATCACTGGCACGAGGAATTAGACAGTCTTATTAATTGAGACTCTGGGAAGTATTTTAGACAGTTCAATCTTCAGCCTCGTCTGAAAGGTCTGTCGTCGAGGAGCACGAACGCCAACGAGACGCTATTGGCAATTACCATAGCCTAGTCACTTCAGATTCAACTGTGGAATAATATAATTGCTGAATTATGGAACAGTATAATTTTGAATTTGATATCCTTTTATTTCTTCCAACGATACAAATATTTAAATCAAGTTAATAAACTTTTCGGTTTCAGAAAAAAATACTCTTCAGAGGGATCTACTAAATCACCAGTTGAAAATTAATTCCCAGAGTGACTGGACTACTCGCCACGAGAGCGACCTTTGCTAAAGTGGAACGAGAATAGAGTTACGCACAGTCGCGATAGATTTTCTCTCTGTACGTCGACATAGACACGATTTCGCTCCTGAAATAGACCGAAAAGTCTGGCTGCGATCGTGACCCAACGCCGCGTCTAACTCTAACCCGTGGCGAGTTCGTTTTCGCGTGGGAGGGTTCCATTAATCATCGACGTGCAACGCCAGGGAACGTGGCCCTGGAAACCGTCAGAGGGACGCAGAAACAAAACGTCAACGACGATCGTCTACTGCCAGCTGCGACTGTCCCTGATCTGTTCAAAAATTCTCATTCGTTTGACAAAGTTTGCAAATTGGAATTGTGAGAGGAAATTTTACACTGAGAAAATGAAAGGTTATTTGAATAAAATTCTGCCCCATCCCTGGTCGTTGACACCGAGATGGACCCAATGGGACAATCTTTGGCGTATGGTCAACGAAACTGAGGAATAGCAACCTTTTGGAAGGCTCTATTTAAGAAGTAAATCTAGGTGGCAGATCCTGGTGAAGCGATCGAGGAGCGTAGTTTCGATACGTGTAATTATATGAATTCAAGTGAAGCTTGAAACTCGTTTATAAGATAAAATTTCTGACTTCAACTGTCAGAGAATGGATCTACAGATTTAACCATAAATTGATAAAGCACCAGAAACTCTAGCAAGTATAAAAAAAAATGTCTGAACTTCCAAAAAGGATCATTAATGTGTCCCATCTCTTGAGGAATATTGACACATATGTGTACTATTCCCTAAAAACGAAACACGAATTCTTTCCAAATAACGAAAACGAAAAATCTCACCAGAGCCAATGATTTCTCGATGACACGCGACGCGAATCGAACGAAAGACGTCAAGGTGGCCCGTCTCCAACTGGGCCATCCCGTATTAACGTTACTCGGACCAGAACTCAGACTAACCCTTTCCCCATTCTCCTCGACCGCTCCATCGTCGTGCAAAAGTCCCATCACGGTTCACCAGGCGCCATTTCCACTTCGCAAACGTCACCGGACCTCACCGTAATTATCAGGCTGCTTCGAGGAACCTGGCAAGCCAGCAACGGCCGACATATCGAAGACTCCAACGACTTTTTCCACCGAATCGCATTTACCACTATCGACGCGCACTTTTTCCCTCGGCGAAGGAGAAGGTGAAAAGAGGAGAAAAAATATGTAACTTCCAGGAGTTTGAAAAGCCAAAGTATCCTCGAGCGCGGGACTTCCGTTTCTGGAAGAGGAAGAGAGGAAAATCGACGATCGACCAGGCTTTATCGCGATTCGAGCGAACCGGCCTCGAGGAGGATGCGAACTGCTGCCAATCTATTTTCAAGCGGTGCCAAGCGGCCAGGTATTTCCGTTGACAGCTGGCCACGCGTACAGCGCTCTACTCCGCGCTGTTTCCGCCCAACATTCGCGGCACTCTCGCTAGATTTCACCGCGAGTACCACGAAAAGTCTGAATATAAGATATGTACCATTTAGGGAATGGTTTGGTACGAAGAATCAATTTTTGGTGGAGTATGTCGATTCGGGAGAGGTTTCAGAATTTTACTGCGAAGATTTCTGTCAGAAATTCATCAAGGTGGATATATGATCACCGAAAGTATCAAGTCAATGTGAAGTTATACGACATTCTGAGGGGTGGTACGAGGGGAAGTATCTCGAGTGAGGCTAGTTCACTTTTTGGAGCACCCTCTGATCTTTGCAGTGAATAAAACTTTTAACTATATAGAGCAATTTTAAGCTTGTCTTCTAACAATATTTAAAATATCCAATTTTAATGTTACATCACATTCCAGTTCTTTTCACGTGAAATAATAAGGTTTGCATCGAACCCAAGCATGTATTGTACATATAGGCGAGAAAGCTTTGTTTGTCCAAACATCAAGGGCTGCTCCAAACTATCAAGCGTTGCGTGGTATATTTTTTGGATGAAATCCCAAGAGGAGTATTTCGAACAAGTTGAAGGACTACTGTATGGTATATGGATTGCCGAGCGAAGGTAAGTGCTTCATATATTATTTTGCACGCATGAGAAATTTAAGTAAACATTAAACCGCGTTCCTCTTGGAGCTCAATTTTTCAAAGTGCTGTTAGAATCCACGGATCCTTTTATAATAAAATTCTCTACAAAGCTACATATGTATACACTTTATAGACTCTTGAGTTTATTTTTGAGGAAGAATATTCTAACAGGAATCGACCATTTTCTGGCTTATTTTATGAACGAATTCAGCCTTAATTTTAAAGGGTCTAACGAATGACAGCTGAATGATCTGGCAACTACCAAAACATGAGGAATCGTTTGCTATGAAAGATGAAACAACTACGATGGGACTACGCCTACGCGAAGAACCACATTCAACGCTGAACAGCGATGCATCAAACGCGTCTATCCAAACACATTGATGAAATCTCCAAAAAGCTAGCTACAGGAGTTAGGCAAGTAACACAAACACCTAAAATCTTTATCATCTGATTTTAGAGATTTGAGTGGTCGTATCTTGGTACTCGGGGACCAAGAAACAAAGCTTTCTAATAGAATGACAATTGACTGGTATGCAAGGGTCAGAAAGCTAGTCGTGGCCGCCTGAGTAGCTCCAACCTTGCCCAACCCCTGGAAATTCACTTATCCTTTCCAAGCAGCCATATCCGTCAAGGGCTCTGGCGATGACTCGCGGTGATTCGTGTCCCATCACGGATTGATTGGTCAAATAAACAACCAGCAGCACGTGAACATTACACACACATATATTATCCGCCCAGCTAAAGGGGCGAGAACGTTGCAACGGTTCCTAACAACAGCCTAGCGCTAATAGCGTACAGTAAAACTCGTGACACGGTCGATGTTTGAGCGTCGCGACGCTTCTCGACTCCCATTTTCGTACACAGCGTATCCAGTAGCCCTGGCAGGCCTCAGACGTCTTCGAATCGTTAATCTCTCTCTTGGTTAGTTCGTTAATGGGTTGCCTCGTCCAACGTCGCATCGTTTTCCTCGATTCTAAATCGAGTACGCTATATGTACTAAGGTGGGGGAGAGGGGTACACACAAACAAGAACCTGGCGCTCGTGCGTCGCTAAACAACAGAGTCTACGTATAGTTCAACCTAGACCTCTAACAGTTTCTCTCTAAACTGAACACGCGTTTGCTCGAGGCAAACACACGACGCACGTGTGCGGCGCTGTATGAGTCGTTCCGCGGGGAAATTGCTCTAAATTCTTACGAAAGAACATCATGGGCCATGTTTGGCTGTCTAAATGGGATCTGTGCAGGTTTAAGTTAACCTCTGGATGATTAACTGGAGGTCAAGTTTTTGGGGTCGGGGTTGATCAAAGTGGAAACTGTTGACCTCTAGAGCTCGAGATAGAGACTAAATTCTATGTGGCCAACTAGAGTTCTATATTATTCCACCTAGAGTTCAATTAGCGATCAACATAGGACCTCGTAAGCTTTTAATCACAAAACCTAAGATCTCCATGCCTTCTAGAGGTTAACCTAGGGTCTCCTAATCGTTCAGAGGTAAACTTAAAGGTTCTTGATCTGATAACGATGAATCTAAACTTCTTAGCTTTTTTCGATAGATTTTTAGATCATCCAAGGTGCGGAACGGCTCGCACAAGCGCGTTGCTTAGGAGCCCGAGGGAGGGATCGTGATTCATCCCGTCCGTATACAGGTGGGGTAGGGAGTGCTACGATTAATTGCAGACCGATTAGAGAAAGCAACGCGCGCAACGTCCTGATTAGTTCGTGGAACGAGAGGAGGCTGGAGAGACGGTAAATCCGAAGTACGAGTTAGCGGAAGCTGGAACAGACAGGGTGCAAAAGCTCGGCTCGAAAGCTCGTCACTGAGCCCCCCGTGGGATTGGCTTCTCCGATTCGTTGCCCCTACTCTCATCGAAACAACGCGAATTTTAAGCTTCCTGTGCTTTCTTGGCCAAAAAGCATGCCTTTTTTTATTTTTTTGTTATAACAAAATTCCACGTTATGTATTTCAGTGTCACAAATCGAAGGCAACGTTCTTCTGCCTTACGAGAAAGAGAGAGGGGTACGTTGAAATTGCTGGAAACGCGGTTACCCCTTTGTGATCGAGCTATGTTTCATTTTTTTTATTGCTTTTATTGTGGATTGTATGAATGGAGAGGCTCCCAAGGGGTGGCTTTACAAATATTTCTCGTTTTAGTAAAAGAAAGCCAATTGTCCTTTATAGAAAAATATAAAGATGAAAATATAAAGTGAGCAGCAGGGGATGAAACGGAACTCGACACAGAGCGCGACAAAGGTCAGGGACGACAGGAAGCCAATGAAACACTTCCGGTCACGAGGGGACTGAGGTTCGAGATCCCCCGCGAACGGGAGAAGCCAGACTGACCAAACGGGGGATGGTTTACACGTAAAACATACATAGGACAAATACGTATCAGTGTACATATATACACGGGGGTACATATGTATACACAAGAAGACGAGAGACGTCGAAACGTGTAACGTTTCTCGGCCTTCGATTATGCAAGTTTACCTTCGGGTTCTTTGGCAATGACCGTGCTGCTCCGGTCGACGCCGCCCTTCTTATCCTCTGCACAACATACACACATACGTCACGTATACGGATATGCGACAATTTCGTTTCGTTTACATATCGCCGGTTAACAGGACTAAGATACCACCAGCGCGCTCAAACGGGTGCTGAAGCTTTCTTTGTCTAGCACGTCGCATAGGGGGCCAACCGAAGAGCAATGGTTCTTTTAGGGGTGAATCATTTTTTCAAAGAAATCACTGCTTCTTATTGGTCTCAGTTTGTTTAAATTAAATTGTTTAAAAGATTGAAAATTTGCGAGCTCCCTATAACCTTTGATACTTTTGCCCAGTTCAAATGGAATTTTTTTTGTAATGTTCTTGATATTTCAATGAAGATTGTAGACTATTTTCCGATAATGTCAGGTATAATTCTATTTACGTTAATATATAACGAAGTCTTCGACGCTGTGACGTTACTACTACAACGGCCTGAAAGAACCAAAATTGCTTTTCGGATGTCCACCAGCAATCACGACGTTTCCATCGCAATTTTTTACACGAAGTGGCTGCACTCCGTGGCTGAGAAGCGCCCTCAAACCGAACGTCTCTTAAAGACGTCGTTAAAGACTGACTGTATGTACAAATACTAACAGAAAGACCTCCAAACGTACAAAAGTAAGGAAATACGATAAAAAGTACTCGACTAGTGTACACACATTTCCTTACAATTGCATACGTCGTTCCCAGGGGCGAGAATTACAGCCAACCAATCACGTCACTCGCACCAATTAAGCTGACACTCAAAGCAGCGAACATTTACCATCGAAGCGTCAAACTTTTCCTCCCAATTTCACCAATTCTCCCCGAGGTAGCTCACAAACGCCACGGAGTTGCAACTACTGCGTGAAAACAATCACTAGCTGCGTCAATAGCAACGAAGTACTCTCCCAGCTTATCAATCTCTAAAGTACACGCTAACGGGAGACAGAAATAGAGAATTGTAGCGGCATCGAGCGTATTCGTACTTGGTCGCGCGTTGTTTTCGGTCCAAAGTTAACGTATCGGATCCAGGTACTCTTTCCAAGAGGTATGACGCACAGTTGGCCACACCAATGTCTTTTCGAGGGGCCAACTGTGCGCGATTCCTTGACAGAGGAAGCGAGGAAAGAGGGATGGAAAAAGTGCAGCGAGGAAAAGTCGTCTCGTCCAAAAAGTTAAACGATAAAGTCGGGACGAGTCGCCAAAGTGGCCCAACGACTTCCGATATCGAACGATTCCCGCTGCTTTCGATTAAGAAGTTTGCTAATAGAAGAAGATAGGACGTTTAAGGGGTGTTGATAAGTTACGGACTCGAACTTTGCGGGTGGACAAAACTAGTCGAAAGAAAGAGAAATCTTCCTTGGAAACATTTTCACAAAAGTTGTGCTTGCCAAAAACAATAAAGAACTACCGATTTTTCGCAAGTAAACTTAAAATGAAATAAATTACTCAGCAATTTAAAAGTTAAAGTTTCACTTAAAAAATCTACCAATAAATAACAACGCAATATATATCAGAGGACCAAGTCTAAATAATCGTCTTACAGCCCTTTCATTCCTTCTTCTACGGTGCAAAATCTCTCAAATTCAAAGCTCGAGGTCACTCGTCCGAAATCGGAAGCTGAGAGGGCAAGAACACCCTCGTGACTCGCTGTTAATCGAACGTTGGGAAGAGGGAAAGGGGTTGGAGAAATAGGGGTGGTTTGTGCCGGAAGGTGCAGTTCGCGGTGAACGTGCAAACGTCGACGAGGACACCGACGGGAATCGATCGTCTCCTTAAGAGCGAGGGGGGACGAGGCGCGTGCAGATCCAACGAGATTTAATCACGAAGGGGGTTGGAAGTTTCTCAGGGGACACTTTAAAAACTGCAGAAATTCCGTGGAGAATCGTGCTCGGACGAGCAAGGACCTCGATGATTGTTTCACTTTGCTTCTAGGAGATTCGCTCGCTTTTCGTTCGAGTACGCGAAAAGAGGCAACAGGGGTGGGACCGGAGGGTGAAAGAGAGAGAGAGAGAGAGGTGTGGGGGGGGGGGAGATTTCGCAGTTGTTCTCAAAGACAAACGAGAATATCGGAAAACGTGTCCGAGATCACAGTCAGGATATTTGTTCAGCGAGAAATCGTCATCGAGCTCCTTGAAGTTTCTAAGACCAACGGGGGGAATGGGGGTGGGATCGGGTAACAAGTATTTTTCGTTCGTTTCTCGGATAGAGCTCGTTGAAACGAGGATTCGTCCACTCTTAACCCCTTAGCTGCAATGGAACACCATCGTGGACGCCATATTGTCTTTTTGGTGCGTTTCGAGTCGCAAAGAGTGCACCACAGGGGATGAAATTACGCGTATTCTCACTTGGAATGGATTCAGAACTTTCTCATTGTCGGTGTTCCTTCGGTTCTCTCGCTTCGAACGTTCGACTCGGCATCCGAGAAAGCTTGGCCATCGATGCATAGTCATGCACGAGCGGGAGGGGAATGCATCATGCGATTTTCCATTATGTGGAATGTGTCGGTTTTAAGCTGGCGACGAGCTACCAAACGCGCGCCAAGTTGCCCTGTGATCGATTCGTCCCCCACAAATCCACGAATACTTTAAGTCATTCAAAATAAGAGTCCATGATATTAATAATCACTTCAGCATGGGAATCTTTAATTTCGTGGAAGATTTATGCGTACTCTAAACGTTTCGTTTTGTTTTTTTTTTTTTTTTTTACATAACGCGTCATCGATCATCATCACGGACAAGATACCGCAAGACAACTTTACGCTGACAAAGTCAGGGGCGTAGCAGCGCGGAAATGAACGGGGAGTGCCAGCTTTAAAAAAGAGAAAAAAAAAAAATAAAAGAAAGAAAGAAGAAGAGGAAAACAGCAAAGTGAAAGCCGAGAAAAAAGCAAGTCGGGGGTAGTGTTCATAAATCCATAACACCAGAGTGACGGTGAATCGTATGTTCTCGTGGTGTGCCGATGAATGACTTTCGTGTGTACATATACCTAAGAGATTAAAAAAGGTTGGGTCTGTTTTTCCGAACAGAATATACGTGACGCGAGAGAAAGAGAAAGAGAGATACAAATAGAAAAACCAGGGACATTTTCAAGGCACGAGCAGGCGTGTGTGACATATGTGCCTCTGGCCAAAAAAGGAGAAAAAAATGGAAAAAAAAATAGAACACATTTGGTGCACAGCGAGGATTCGTGTTTCGGGAGACACGTGTGTGTACGATCGAGTGTGAAATGCAATCATCGAATCAGGGGGAAATAGAAGAAAGTGAGAAAAAAAACGTGAAAGACAGAAAACAGCGACATTTACCAGCGTGGGTGTCTTTTCTGATTTTTGTCTCGACTTACGCTCGTATTCTGTGGTTGTGTGTAATAGAGAGATTGCTGACGCCTACTGGTGGCCATTCTCTACGACGATCGCGCGTGGACATCCATCGGCTACGTCTGACGTTTCTAAACGCGACTAACGGTGGCAGTTTTCCGCGACTAGAAACGTCGAAAGTAAGATGCTCGGGGAATTCGAATTTTTTAGTTGCCGATTCTTCCCTCGTACGCTAATCTAACAATCTAGATGGCTAATACGCTAACTGCTCGCTGATTCGTGGGCGAACTGAGCACGAGAACGAGTCGTGAGAAGCGCGGAGGGAGGAAAATGAAATTCTCGAAACGATGTGGTCGAAGAGCTATGACCTGATCGACGAAGGAATCGACTCTTTTTAATTTTCATTTTCATTTTATTTAAGTGTTGATATTATTTACTGGGAAATAAAATTATATAATACACTGTGCCTATTAAAGAAATTAATCTAATTCAGATTATATGTTTGAGGGTTTCAAAGAAATGTTTCTTCATAATTCTGTACATAAATAATATTTAGAATTCGTTATGAAGAAAATGAAACTTTTTTATTTTGGATTTTTTTTTTGTTTTCTCCAATTTCAAGCGTCTAACACAAACTAATTATGAGACATTTTTCCAAGTCGATTCCTTCGTTGATTTCACTATAGTCTCAACGTCGAATGAAAATTGCTCGTCACCAGAATTATAGATATTTAAAATACAAACTAGTACCATCTAAGAGAGTACTATCATCGATATCCCTCGCGAAAAAAGAAGAATCTCGATTGCCGACGGTGGTGGATCCATCCAATTATTTTTATTAACATCATACAATTAGCAAATCGAGCATACTTTAAATTTTATGTTTACGATTACCTATCTTACAAATCGAAAATATTTTTGATTTGTTTGTAATGTAAAAAAAATATGTTCAAAGTAGTCCAATGGAGGCAGCTATTTTCTATTATTTGTGTAATATAAGAGGAACTTATGATAATTGTTGATATATGAAGTATATAATTGTTTGTCTTTAGGAGGATCCTTCTGAGTTAATTTTAATTTATTACATTATGTTGACTTGAACGGATCGACTGTATCGTGTTTCTGGTCGCAACTAATATTAATTGTTTCCATAAAAAAAAATATTTTAAACACATCATATGCGAGATCGAATACAATACAAAATAATCTTGAATACAGTTCTAATTATAATCTAACCCCGCATTGTCTTTCAATTATTTAGCACCAAGAGTATACACCCTATCAAACAGTAATTAAAAACTATAACACACTCGAACCACTTTACGTAAACAAAATTTAAACTACGCTCGTTTTGCAAATCCCATGATCGTGATTTGTCATAACACCAAGCAACATTTGCCAACAATTTAGTCGACTAGCTTCCTCGAAACGAAGTGGCGCGCGCGAACGATACTCGAATGCGAATACATCATTAATTCCATCAATTTCGCTCCCGATGAGTCTGTCAAGGGACGATAAATTACTCGCGATTGAATCTTGTCGGTTTTCGATTCGTTTTCGTTACCAATTAATCGTATGACCGACCTTGGTCGAGTTTACTTCGCTCAGCGTCTGACCATTGTCGGACCATACTACTGGCGCTGCTCACGTCGGACTACGATCGAAAGGAAAACTCAAAAAGTGAAATGATCGACGAGTCGTGTGACTGTGTTTAGGGATTCATTGAACGTCTATCGATCGTTTCAACGTGGAGAAATTCAGCAGCCACGACGTTTCGAAGCGGTGGATCGCAAACAGGGTTGCTCGACTATTATAATACTATGTAAACATTCTACAATACTATTCCAAAAGAGAAATCGTCGAAAGATAATTCGAGTTTCCCTATAAACGGGGGAATAGTCTATCGGTAAAGTTCAGGCCCTGTTTTCAACGATGCGCTTTCTTCGTGTCGCGTGTGCGCGTGCTTGCGCCTAACGTGTTATGGATTTGTGAGCATTATCATGTTATATACTGGAACGCAAAAGAACATTACTCAACGCTCCTCGCATGTAGCTGGTTTCTACGCATTACTTGTTGTTGGTACTCTGGAGACGGGGCACGTGTTCGTATGCGAGCGTGTTTGTGTGCGGTTATGAAACGATTAGGACGATATATCGAAAGCGAATCGCTTGCTATATGTGGCGATTGATACTGTTAGTGGCGCACAGCTGAGGAATATTTGTGATGTGTGAATTTGAACCGAGTACTTCATTCCAGTACAACGAATTCGGTGGTTAGATGACAATTTGGAAACTTTGTTTGAAATTACGCATGGTTGTTCAAATGAAGCGATTCTGAAGGTTTCTGTATTTACGAATAATTCTAATTAATTTAGCGAATGTCACGGGTCAAGTTCTTTCTGATTTTCCTATGTTGCATACCGATTCTCGCGTAAGAGACGGTAAACAGAAAGGTCTCCGATCGAATATGCAACCGAGAGAGTCCAATTGTTTCGGCGCTCTGTAGTATTACCGTTTTGTCCTCGAGTGTGCTCGTGTATGGCTCGAGAATCAATTCACTCGGTGATAAAGTGTCCCGAGTCTTGAAAGCGAATGAAACCCGTTGTCTGGTTGTGTTTTCGGTGTATGGGGACAGGGAAACTTGGTTGCATGCATGCCTGGGATTACACGGATTGCACTTTCGCGTGCTTGTCCGTCGCGGCAAAAATTGAATACCCGCGAAATATGGGACGAAAAGGTCCAGAAACTACCACCGAAGATATAGTCTAAATTGTTTCTTTCACGATTTCCGTTTAAACAAATACTACAAATAACGCTAACGGATCGCTGTCTTTTCGTTAGAATTAATCGCTATACGAGTACTGTACACACTATGCTACGGTAATACTACTTGAATAGTTCTTTTTTTGGGGGCAGGGAGGGTAGGGGTAGAAATCTAAGGAAACTATGGTTCGTCGCGAGAGTGCAATCCTCAGAAAAGGATCCTGAATGAGTCTGCTTTCTCGCGATGTATGCGAAACGAAGGCTTCCCGTGTTCCCCCAAATGTACATCGCAAAGAAAATAGCAGTTCAAAGCTGACCGAAAGGTGTCGCACGAAGTAAACAAGTTTCAGAGACACATCGAGTGATACAAAGATGTTTGATCCTTTGCGAGGACGACGGATCGTTCTACACTTATATGTGTATTTTTCAAAAATTTAAAGTATCCTGCAATCGCAATAAAATTTCCAGATTCTTGAGTGAAGCAAAGTTCGAAAGCGACGAGGGTCCGTCGTCGACGCTCAGAATGAAATTCGACGTGCAGTGTTCTTCCTGCGTGAAGAGTCTCGAGAGGGTCTGATCGTGTTTGCTTGTGGTGTGCGGATCGCGTGGCGCCGATTCTGTCGGGGTAATCCCGAAAGAACGGGCCGTCTGAATTAATCAGCAACTTCAACGATGGTTCATTAAGCCAGGGTTCGTATGAAAACTGGATGCCCGAGAAGCGGGTCGATCGCTATATCGTTTTCTCAAGAGTTTTCCGAGTCAAATCGCGTCGGTCCTCGCGAAGGTGGATGCGTTACACTCGTGAGAGAAAAAGGGGTTGGGTGAACTGCGATAGAACGCTCGAAAGTACACAGTTCAACGACTACAGAGAGGCGAAAAGACAGAACCGCGGAAGATACAGCTTTGTTGCGATTCGGTGAACAACCACGAGCAAAGCTCTACACTCTAGAAGTAACACGGTCTTCGTGGGTGCTCCACAAAGGCTCGTCGTTATCGCGAACTTTGGGGCAAAGTAACGAAGTGTGATACGAAAACGAGTGGACCTGAGAAGTGTACCAAGCGAAAGAGACTGATTGCGAGACTATTTTATGTATCAATTTTATCTTAGTTTTTTGAAAAAGTAAATTCGCGTTTTGGCGATACGATTTTGTAGAACTTAGATAAGCATAACTTATTAAAAAAATTGTTTATTACATGAGTGTAATGTTGAAAACAGAAGATACTGATACAGTATTTATTCCTTAAGAGCTCGTTTCTCAGCTACTCTCTAACAGCACGTTTTGGCCTACACTCTAAAAGCTCACACGATTCTGAATCTGGTCCTCAACATGAATCTCAGAAACTGCTGAGAAACGTGTCTCTCTCTACATCAATCCTCTGCATCAAGTGACGAGCTCTCAACGAATAAATATTGTAATCGTGAAACGATCATAAACGCTGCAGGGTAAACAGTCCGCGATCGACGAACCTCTGTGACAGGTTTACGAACATATATCGGTAATCGGGGCACAGGTGTACGCAAGTATAAGGCGGATTGTGGCTAGAGAGGGCGACAGGTTGAAGGGGCAAAGCAACGAGGGGGATACTCAACTACTCGAGCTATTGTCCGACGATCGATTTGCACGTGAGCAGGAGCGCTATCTCTCTAATAATAGGCGGATATGCGCGCGCAAGTCTTCTGCTCGTGATTTCGTTACGTCGAGGGGACCGCGAGCAGCCTTCATCGATGGCTGGAAGGATCATCGTCGATTTAACCGAGAGAAACAGAAATTGGAAAGGTTTGCGTGTGTTCTCGTCTGCCCGCTTGAGCATTTTTTCTCAAATCTATTCGACCCATAATTAGACTCTACATTGGAATTGTCTTTGGTGGAATTTAGATAATCGAATATTTGTTTAGAGTCGGTTTTATATATTTTATGAAAAATATAGAAAATCGAAATGAAATTGAACCAAAGGTAACACAGTCGATCATGGATCGAATAGATCGATAAAGTGCTCTAGTTGACTGGCAAGCACACCGACTGTCTCAACGCAAGCATGAATCAACATCAAGAATGGAAAGGATCCTTCTTTACACCGACTGACCCACGAGAGTCGGTCGAAACTCGACTCTATAATACGTCTTACCCGTTGAATCCTGCGTTTATCGAGGGACACGCAATCGATTGGTTGCATCATCGTCAGTTTCCAAGTGTCCCATCGGAGGGGTGGGGGATTAAAGGGGGTGAGTTCAGAGAGTATTTGAACGGCGAGTTTCTGTCAGAACTGGGACTATTCGAATACTGAGGAATACTGTTTGAATACTTCAATTGTGGACAATTATTTGAGTACTATTTCAATAAATTTGACTATTTAAATACCTCATTACCGAAAGATTACTTAAATACCATTTAAATACACTTGTCTATTCGAATATTGTTCAAAAATTCATTTTTACTGTTCAACTATAAAATTATTCGAATAGTCTCGAGCTCTGATATCATTCATTCCACGAAACGTCGACTAGAACTCGATTCCATCTGCCGTGACCCAGGTCACAGAGCGAAAAGCAAGCGAAACATAAATTCAGATTCGACGAATTAACCCCTTTCTCTGGGGTAGAGGCAGAGTCCGTCACGAATCCGAGCGACAGCAAGACTGAAATCCAGTTATAGCCACGCAAGTGGAACAAGCGAATTCAGCTTCGATCCATTAGTAGATTTCGCTGGGAAATTAACTGTCCCGGTTGGGTCTCGAGCAATTAACGAGCCTAAGGCTCGGTTTCGTCGCGTGCACGCGAAACATGCGACGATTCGAGGAGGAACGCTGTTCCCGTCGCAACTTTCACGTCCGCGTACGAAATTGCGTCTAGTTCCCCAACGTTTCTCGCGACCCTATTTTCTGGGCTATAATTGCGGCTTGAAACGAAACTCGTGCACGGGGAATCCAAATACTCGTCCTTTTCGTTGGACTACACATCCCTGTGCGGAGAACACCCAAGGACGTTTGAGTAACACGCATAACGGGGCCTACAACTCTAAACTTCGAACTTTTAAAGCTCTAAAGTACACTCATAAATTTCCAGAAAAATCACAAAGGAGACACTTAATTCAATTCAACTAAAACCACGGGTCAAGGGTCGCGAGGACGTCTCGAATCGCCTCGAGTTGTATGCAAACGCGACGACACTAGTGCACCTTCTCGGTGCAACCACGAATTTTGTGCGTGGTAAGAATACTGATATTAGTAGGTGATGATTCCCAGTGGGAATTTCCCGATGAGAGATTCCCAACGGGGAACCAAAACACACGAAGAGGATCTAAAACAAGATCTACAGTGACAAGGAGTGGGTGTCCTACCTCTAACGTCATCGTCCTCGATCGTTGTGCTGCTGTCGGTGGATTCCTTCACCTGGGAACCGTCTCCCTTCTTCGTGATGGTGCTCCGACCTGGAGCACGCAGAGCGTTTCAGTAAATCGGCATGGACGGGGCAGGATATTATTTTTTTTGTGTGGAGAGCGAAAGTAATCCAAAAAGACAAACAGAGAAGAGCGAGATGGAGCAGAAGAGGAGGCGTTGGACAGGTTCAGCCCGGATCGGGTCGAGTAGAGCACACACTGAAGACGGTCATCGAGGATCGAGGGATCGACGAGGATCGCACAGGTGAAAGATAGCGCGGCGCGAACTCAACTGCGGACCTGTCCACGGGCCCAGGCTCTTCCAGGCGCGTGGAAGTGGAGGGGATCAGTATGGTGGGGATCCTAGCTATGGACAGGCCTGAGAGACTGATCTTAAAATGGTTGATATAGCGATCTAGATGGATTTTAATTATTATTAAAATTTGGTGTATTTTATATCATAAAGTAAAAAAATTCTTTCCTGTATTTGGAAATGCTGCAGACATGATTTTACTTTGATTATTCGATCGGTACTGTATCTGAATCGCTAAATCAAAACGTGGGCTCAAAATCTCATCTTGGGAAACTTTTAACATCGTTCACTTTTTTAAATTGAACATGTTCGGACATAATTGGATCCGAAATTGGTCGTTCAACGTCACTTCTTTCGCTGTGAAGCTATAACGAGGATCTGAGAAGATTTCCCCTGAATGGAATTTCAAGAAAATGATACTTCGCTATCAGTCAACGTTTCTATAGATTACAGACGGCAATTAACAACACTACTATTACAAAAACGCAGTCTATGACTTGCAAATACTTGAAAATACAAGTTCCTCTTCAGGAGCTATCTTCATAGCTTCGTGCAGTAGATGCAAATTTCTACTTCGTTGCTATAACAGCCTCTCCCGTTGGAGGGACTTCAAGTTTGCGTGCAGAGACTATAAATGGCGGGTTGGAGTAGCCAGGCGGCGTTGTAGAGGTGACCTCGAGCAACCAATTCATTCTGGTCCAACCGTAATTCGAACTCTGAACAAATCGTGACTGGAATCGAACGCGAGGAGTTAGTGGAGCTGGTTCATCTTGGTTTCTCAAGGAATTCATCGGATCAGGTGGATAGAGAGAATTATTTTAGGTCAGACGAATCTAGATCTTCGTCGACCGTAGCCTAACGAAAGATCAGGCTTGAAGAGACTAACCAAGAGGAATGCAAACCGTAGAGTGTAGATAGATAGACAGAGAGAGTAGAGTGACAGAAGCCAAGATATAGAGGCGAGGAGAGAAGTCAGAAGGAAGAGATCAGAGAAACAGGATCGCAAAGGGATAGTCGAACACTCGAGTGCATGTGTTCTGCATGCGAGACAATCGTGATCAATCAGTTCGAGCAACTCTGCCGATGCTCTCAAGATGACGTATGGTGCCAGGAAAAAAAATGGTCCTCTTGTTCCTTTTACCTTTCTGATGGCTCCTCTCGAGAGCTCGGCTTCGTTCCGTGCCAGAAGCGTCGTAACGTTTTCATAAAAGTGGAAAAAAGTAGAAAAAAGCACGGTTGGAAACAAAAATTCATGCTGAAGAGCTGCGTGCGATTGCGTGTCGTTGGCGAGAGAAGAGTGTAGTGTCGTGCTTGCGAAAATCGCGACTCGAGGGGCAAGGTTACCGAAATTGCTCCTCGGACGCTGACGAAGATGTCCCTTCGACACTGGTATCGATTTCATTTAACGGGGGGGCTCTGGTATGATCAGAACTTTTATTTAACACGATGACTGCTAGACTAATTCACATGGAAATATCTACAGCAATAAGATTTTGTCTCGAGATTATTGGAAATTATAGAATTTAACATTTAAGTATCAATATTTGGCTGTAAAATTGATTAATTTAATCATAAATCCATAGTGAAAAGCTCTGTTACCCATATATAACGTTATGTGTTCAACGTGTTAAATTCGAAGGCGTGCAGTGGCATGACACAGACCCTGAACGTTATATTAACCGTTTAAGTACCAGGGGTCATTTTGAAAGTTGTTGTTGAATTCAGGCATGTGGCGCGACGTTTGCTGGGTTGTTATGATTGCAAGGAAATCCAAGAATCGCGCTTCTGTAATTGGATGTTTACAAGTACCAGGCGCGCGATCACGCGTCACACAGCGTCGCAGTACGTGCGTGGATAATTTTTTCAACGGTTTGATCGGAAGCACCGAGCATTCCTGGAATTACATGTTTGAAATATACTTGCGTTCTACGATTTACGAATACATACGCGAGACTGAAACGGTTAATCTGTTAATATGGACAATAGAATTGAAAAGTTCGTTTACGTACAAATAAGGGTAATTTTGTTCTTTCCTACTCCATCCGCATGGTCTCATTCTCTTCATCAAAGAGTGACTCGAAAATAACTACTGCACTACTTTCGCAAAATTCGATCTAATTTCGAAAAAATACAGAGCAGAAACTGACCGGTGCATCCTTCGCGTTTCTCTAAATTTCACAGCCTTTGGGGGTTGATTCTTCGCGATTAGGGGACTGTGAGAGCCACTCGCACGGTCATCTGTTAGCCGTGGAAAAAAGGTGGCGTCAAAGACGACAAGAGAATTACCAGTACGCATTAGAGAGCTGTGGGGCTCGTCTTTCTCGGGGAAAAATTGAATTACACGGTTGGCCCCGTAGGCGGACGTAATTATTGTCACAGCAATATCAAGCCTCAAAGGACGGCGAATCGTCTCTCGGCGGGGATCGAGTTGAATAATTTGCCGCGGGAAAAGCGGAGAGACAGGATGGAAGCCGCTGGGTTCCGACGCCAGGATAAATACGGAAGGGAAATTCCTCCCCAGAGTATAATATCCGTGTACTTTGGGAAGCGGACTCCCGCCACGGAGATGCGCTCGTCAAGACGCGTTTTATGCGCTCTCGCGTATTTTTATCTCGCGTACTACCATCGCAGGACCTCCCCTCGCGTCGAAGCAACCCCATCCTCGTCTGGATCACGTCCGTCTTCAATTTTTGGGGGTTGCTTTCGCTAGACTGACGTCGTATCGTTGAAACTCAATTGCTCAGGAATTTACCCCTTCGCTGATAACGAGCTCTGATTTTCTGCTTTCAAGGCTAGGCTTGGAAAATATTTGCAAGTGAATTACTCCAAAATATTCCATCAACCTCTTTTACTTCCTCAAAATGTTCATTTTACTCTCCAAGCCTAACCTCATAAACTTCCAGCCTTCGCGTGACTCTAAATCATTGGAGACGCGTGTAAGACCTGCCCGAAGAAGAGGAATCGATGGATAACGCGTTGCCTCGATACCAGAGGGCCCCAAGGATGGATACGAGAGAAGGGTACGAGGATATCGATGTTCAGTGTGAACGGCTCTTTTCGACATGCTTCTCTGGATGACAAGAAATGCGAGCAGCGCGAGTAGACAGACAGCCGAGAACCAGGCGCAAATAAAATAAATAAGCGAAGCCAAAAAGCGTGGGCATGCGATATGGCGACGATCGTTCGTACAGTTCCTTCTCCATACGTCTCACCATGAAATAAAATTGTTCAATCTTAATACACAAAGACATTCACATCATGAATCTAAATACAATGTACACAAATCTCACAAACTCGAATTATGAGGCTAGCTCTGTTCTATGCCTAGAAACCGAAGCGATAAGCGCCCCAGTCAATAAAATCGTCCAACCTCGATCCACGTGGACCTTCAGGTCGTGTGGGGACGTAGAACACGAGAGCGGGAAGCGTGACCTTGATTAGGCTAGCGACCACTATTTCGGGCTGCGACTTTTCGTTTGGAGGGGAACCAGCAACGAACAGATCGGCCATTGCACGATTCCAGCGTATGGAAGTCAGAGTTTGTATCGTGTGCAAGCGTGCCTTCGTCGTTTCGTAGGTCAGACGCGTCCCCTTTCGCTTGAGTGAAAGGTTCAGAAAGGGCGTGCCTTGCACCTCCGACCCACTTCGCGTAGCTAGAGTACCTTGTCAAAAAAAAATCAGTCAATAGAGTGTGTGAGAAAGAGAATGATAGAGATAGGTAGACAGAGTAGATATGTAGATAGACGGAGAGAACGATTGATCGAGTTTGGCTCGCGTTCTCCCGTCTGGAAGAATCGTATTCGATCCAGAGTTCATAAATACTTCTTTTTTCACTCGAAATTTATGGATCCGTCCACATTTGCATTTATATATATAACTCTCTCCTTCCACATCTCTTCTGAGGCCCCTTCACTTAGATTCAATGCATATTCTCTACTCGCACTTGAGAAACAGATTGTCCGCAATCAGCAAAACAACTTCCTCTTTAAAGACTTTAATTAAAATCTTTAAATTCCCCTCAGAATTAAATCTTCCACAGAATATCATCGTTCCATAAATAGATACATCTTTTCAAATATCATAATACTAGGTGAGACAGCTTACAGTCCCCACGTGAGCGATTTTCGAAGTCTGACAATGATTTTCCTCCAGCAAGAGAACGCGAGCTATATGTTCTCCCGTATCAAGGACACGATTCATGAGTGAAACGACAAGAAAATAATGATTCAAGCTTTGATCACGAATGGAGAAATCGCGACGACGAAGAAAGCACAGGTTTCACGATGAGTGAAGCGGTATTCCGATGTTCTCGATCGAGCTAGCGACACTAGAAACCAGTGACTGCGTAGCTGGTCGATTACGTTCAATCGATTCCCGTTACGGCCACTCTGATACGCCCCAACGCGATAGCGGAGACCTGGCATCGACAAATTCGCCGATGAAAACGTGAAAATGAGGCTCGCGACTCTGGTCACAGGATTATGGAGCTAATACGTTTGGGTTGTGGCATAAGTTATTACCGTGTTTGTTTAAATTAAGTGAGGTAGATTTTTAGACGTATCTCGCGATGTTTAAGTCACATTTTAGTTGATACTTGAGCTGGTTTGAGATGGTTAGATCGATATAAAAATGTTTCGAATAAATAATTTAATAACATAGAAAAAAAGCATGAAAAATATTCTTTTCTCACGAGAAATTGGAGTCTACTGTTTTTTTGATGTTGCACAACTAAAGGAAT